CCATCGAAGAGACGATTTCATGAAAAGGGCCTTGCACAACCATTAAACTCTGCCATTGAAAATGGACTTTGTGTGCGAATCGCGAATTACTGTCACAAAGCACCGCTGGGTGCTCTTTGTCTTGGCTCCTGTGAGCTCAGAATGCTGAAGCATTGACAGCTTCTCAAGCATAGGCAGGCTTTATCTTTTCGACCAACTCAAGGGTTGTTCATCATGCAACTTCAAAAATACATGGAAACAAGGACAGACATTAACTTGGAAAGTAGCATCGCTTTCAAGAAACAAAGGCCTTTGTCTTCTGACAACACGGCTTGCTTTGCCGCAAACAGAGAAGCCACTACCTTGCTCTCTTTGTTGGCCTTTGCTTTCATGTGGGTTTGTAGAATGGCCAACCTGTAGGTAGGGGAACAAAGAGCTAGAACACACTGGAATCAAGCTCTTGGGCTCTAGCCTAACCTGTGCAAGAGAGGTCGACTCCTTCAAACACTAGCCGGACATGATTGATCAAGATAGTAAACACAAAGGACCAGGGCCAACCTGTATGCAGGCAACACAGAACCAAAAAACACTGGAATCGAGCTTTTGGGCTCTAGCCTACCTGCGCCAATGAAGCCGATACGCAAAATTTGAGAAAGTACACGGTACACGGAAGCACCCTGAAGGCAGAAAAGCAAGAGTGTAGGGGCGTCGACTCCTTCAACCTAGCCGGACATGATTGATTGTGCGAAAACCAGTGAAGACATCGCTCAAACTCAAACCAGTACATGCAAAGGACCATGGCCATCAAGCTCTTGGGCTCTAGCTTAACCTGCTTGTGACTTCGCATGGGCATCAAAGCAGCAAAGGGCGACTGATACCTGGGCGACAAGCAGTATACACATTGTTCACGGACCGCGGCCAACCTTTAGGCAGGCAAAAGAGAGCTAGAAAACATTGCAATCAAGCTCTTACAATGAAGCCGATATGCAATGTTCGAGAAAGGACAAGCAAGCGCACTGAAGGCAACAAAGCAAGAGTGTTGGGGCGTTGAGTCCTTCAACCTAGCTGGACATGATTGATCATGCCAATTCGGGTGACAAAGAGTACGCGCATTGCTCAAGGCAGTACACACAAAGGACCAGTGCCAAAGAAGGCATCACGGCTTCTCGTCTCCCTCGACACTTTAGACGGGCACCCGACTTTGCGACTTCAACATGACAACTCGGTTTAGACACGCACTTTGTTGTCGTGGCTGTGAGCTCAGAGGATCAGAATGCTGAAGCATTGACAGCTGAAGCATGGGCATGGTTTACCCTTCTGCCAAGAGATAGCTCAAAGATTGTTCCTTATTCCTCACGCAACCCAAAAAAACTGGAAAAAAAGACATGCAGCTTGGAAAGTAGCATCCCTTTCAAGAAGAAAAAGCCTTTGTCTTCTGACAAGGCGTCTTTCTTTGCAGCAAACAGAGAAGCCATTAACTACCTTGCTCTCTCAGCTGCATTTCATTTGCTTTGGTAGAATGGCCAACCTGTCAGCTGGCAAAAGAGCTGGAAAACGTCCGAATCAAGCTCTTGGGCTCTAGCCTAACCTGCACCAATGAAGCTGATATGAAACGATGAAAAAGTACACGCAAGCGCTTGCCGCACGCTAGCACCCTGACAGCAGAAGAGCAGGTGTGTTGGGGCGTGAAACAAAGATTTCAAAGGCCCTGAACAACCGTTAAACTCTGCCATTGTTGGCTTTTGTCTGCTGGCAGTCGTGACCCACTAAGTTTCATAGCACGGCGGCGTGCTCTTTGTAGGCATGCTTGACCCTTCGACCAAGAGACAGCTCCAAGATTGTTCCTTATTCCTCACGCAACCTTACTGGAAACAAGGACACACAGCTTTGAAAATAGCACCGCTTTCAAGAAACAAAAGCTTCGGTCTTCTGGCAAGGCGGCTTGCTTTGCCGCAAACAATGCAACCATTCACTACCTTGCACTCTCAGCTACTTTTCATTTACTCTGTATAATGGCCAACCTGTAACCTGTAGGCAGGCAACACAGAGCCAAAGAACACTGGAATCGAGCCTTTGGGCTCTAGCCTACCTGCGCCAATGAAGCCGATACGCAATGTTTGAGAAAGTACATGCAAAAACACCCTAAAGGCAGAAGAGCAAGAGTGTTGGGTCGTAGATTCCTTCAACCTAGCCGGACATACGACTGTTCATTGAACCTCTGTCTTCTGACAAGGCGACTTGCTTTGCCCCAGAGAGAGGCACCATTAAGTACTTTGCTATAGGCAATAGCGTTAGGCTCTATAGGCAGCTGACGATATGTTCCCGCGAACATTGGACACACGGAAAAAGTTTTCTTATGTTCCACCTCCAGGGTGGTACCCGATCACGAGGCATGCTAGAAAGGGCCGGAACCAGTTGCAGGATGTTGCAGGTAGCGGCTTCAATAATTCCACACAAACTGGACTCGGTCTTGCCAGCCACAGCCGCCCCCAATCGCCTTTTGAGAAAGTCACTCGCGAACCACAGCCCAGCCGCCCAAGAGTTTCCTGCGAGAAGAAAACTCTTTGAACCCTGCCTGCTCCCGACCTCTGTGGCTGCCATGGCCAGTTGATGTCAAAAATGATACTGTAAATGATACACGCGTATAACAGAAAACATTGCGCAAGGAACACACATCGCGGGTGATACGGTTGGATGGTCAAAACATCGAAAACACATTCTATACATTTCAGCTCTCCCTTCAGAATCTTCAGAGGTTCTTGCGAGTACTGGGCATGCTTTTGTTGAGTAGATGGCTCAAATAGCTGTGGGCACCAGCGACTTCTCGAGAACACACACAAAGCCAACAACATGATGCTGAAAAAGCAAAGTGATGCAAAGTGCAGTGTTCAGCGTTGCCAGCACTATGTCAGCAACATGCACGCGTTCGGGGAGCATGCAGTGGCCTGAACAACATTGAACACGCGCCTAATGACATTTTGACACTCCACAAGTTGTGCATACTAACTCAAGGCTTTTCTTTTTCGAGCGGGGGATGCTGTAGGGACAGCTGCGCTGCCCGATACTGACCACACTTGAACTAACCATACATCACTGAAACACTTGTTTGTTACCCTTTCACTCTCAGGTCTTCTATACTCATCCCTGTGGCCTAGGCTGACCGGAGCAGATGAAAAAGTGGCTGCTTTATGAAGTGCCTTGCTGTTTGCTTCATCTATGTGCCTTCTCTGAGGTCTTGTCTGATAATGCAAGTGCCTCCATATGAACCCCTGCAGCAAACCATTCGCACAGCAGTTCTCTGCAGCACACTGGGAGGCTTCTAAAGATCATTATCACCATCCTCATCATCCTTTTTCTCATCATTACATTCTCTCACTGCCTGCTCTGCTTTCGGGCCACCCTGTTGTCTAGATTCTTTTTTAATGCTGGTGGTTATGTTCTTTATGCTGGAGGAGTCTGAAGTTATGCTTTCTTGGTGCTGGTACTCCCTGGTGTTTCATCACTAGTGTCACCGATAAGACTTAATGATTAAACACCAATCTGGAACAACCTGTGTTTTGTTAAACTGGTTCCAGCAACTGAGATGATGCTTGTGACGTGCGTGTCCTTGAGAGGGCACCAATTGGGGGTGAAGAGCTCGCTTTCGTGATTGTGGGAGGACGGAAAACCCCTTGCAAGGCTTCTTCTTTTCTCTGTGACGCAGAACTGTCGGTGCCAATTTCGTGCGTGGCAGCTAAAGGCTGCGGGAACCCTGTACATGCCCTATTGACCTGTGCGGCTGGAGCAGGAATCACACCCAAGTCGATCACAAGACTCACAAGTCGATCACAACGCACTCATTGCCTGCTCCAAACAAGTCACGCTTCCGTAGTGAAGGCTGATCTGACGCTGAAGTTAGGACCGAACCAGGGTAGCTCCACATCTTCGGAACTTCGAGGGTGCACTTGCATCTATCGCAACTGAGAGGGAGTCTATATAACCGTCTAACCAGCATCAGCAACCGCACGAAACAATCCAGACAGTTCTGTCTGAAACTTGTCGTCACAGATTCAGTACTGTGTAGAGTCCAGTCATTTTGAAAGTGATCTGTTGGCTTTGAAAGTCACTCGGTTGCACTGCACTCGTCAAGCAAACTCAAAGCATTTTGGCGGGTTTGTGCATGTGACTTTTGCCTTTCTCACCCGCACTTTCAGTCCCCTGTAATGTGATCATCCTCATACACATCCATAGTGGGGTTCACCTTGAAGCCGGTGACAAACAACAAAAAAAAAACGCTTCTTTCAACGCATTCATTGTATGCATATGTAATTATACCTATGTACCAACAAGCATTCAAAGGATTTCAATTAGTCACTGGAGTCAAGGCTCAAGCTGCTGAAGGCACCGCTTGATCTAGTCTCCACTCCCTGAGTCCCCAAGTCGCCATCTGCTTCGGAGCCAAGTCGCCAATCGCACCAGTTTTTGGTTCTTCTCCACGATGTCAGGGCAATCTCGTAGCAGGGGTGCCATGGCCAAGCCTGGTATCTTTTCCACATGACTGGGCTAGGAAACAGTCATGCGCTTTTGACAGAACCTGGAAGAAATGAACATGTTCAACAATCTTCACGCAACGTTTCCTTTAAACATCTTCAAACCACTATTTGAACACACTTCCAAGCAGCTGTGCTGGTGGACAGCTTCTTCAGAAGCATCATAGCCAAATTTCGCCAGCAAGGGGATCTCTACTGCTAAGCACACATTTCGACGGGCATGGGCCTTGGTTCTTCGGTGACTTCGCAGTTTGCGAAGAGAAACCGAAGCAAATCTTCCAAATCAACCGTCCAGATCGATCTCAAACACCAAGTCGACCTAATGCAACCAAAGAGCTTGTTTCACCATATCGCCTTCTGAGCCATCCAAGGCATCCCTCAATTTGTATCGGAAATCTGGCTGAAGAAATTCCTGGATCATAGCGTCCTGAAGGGGAAGGGCGGGAAGGAGAAAAACATAGGAAAAACATGAGACAAGGTGGCCCCAAGTTTGTCCGCTACAGGTGAGTCACAAAGAATCACAGCCATTTTGGATCTGGGACACTTTGAGCCGGTGAGACCGCCAAAGAGCAGCCACTTTGTGCTGCTGTTCCGTCCATCCCTAGGACGCCGAAGGATCCTGAGCGGATTCTCGAAGTCCGCGGTGGGCATCTTGAAGTCGTCGCTGCTCAGAACATGTTGTCTTTCGAAAAGACACTGTTCATTAATTTTTTCATTCTCTTAACTCTCCGACTCTGAGTCAGAATATGCCAAGCCAATCCCACCATCTGTAGCTGTCTCTGGCTTTGCCTCCGGTATTTTGGCGTGTTCAGAGTCTTCTCGCTTTTCTGCAGTTTCTGTTTCATTCAATTCTTGAACCTTCTCAGATTCAGTCCGTGGCTTTTTCACCAGGACAGGCATTTTCTTCTCCTTCTTTTCCTTGTCAACCTTGGCGAAGGCCAGCTTTTGCCCCTTTGCGCTCTCGGTCTTCTGTGCCTGCGACACTGTGGAGCACACATACGGAACCATGCACACTTTATATACTATTGTCATCCCAAAATAGATGGACCAGTTAAGCCCTCGGTTTTTTTCTGAGCCCGGTGGTCCTCCAAGAGCTCTGCCAATTCGCTGGCTTCCGCAGCCTTCCGCTTCTGTGATGCTTCGCGCTCCTTCTCTAAGTCCTCTTGGCTTACTGTGCTTCCCGCGAAGGCCCTTGCATTGGCAGCGCTGTACCGATTGACCTGAACTTGACTCTGTGAAAACTTGCTAAGAGTCAAGCGCTATCATGGCTCAACATGTCCCAAACCTTTGCGTTGGCCATGGGCATGTGCGGAACCATGAGAATTAATGCATCAAGTCTTCCTTGTGCAGATTATGTCTTTTTGAGCTTAATTTGTGAGTGACTTTGCAAACTATATAATGATAGTGGCTTTGGTGCGAGACTTTCCTGAGATGGAAGTACTCTCAAGACGTGCCTGGCTGGCATGGATAGCTGCACGACCCTTCTGCTCTTCCTCCTTTGAACGCCAAGTGGAGGAGTTGGCAAACATGTTGTTTATCCGTTCGCTGCTTGTCGCCATGGCAAACAGCGCAGTAAAAACACTAACTGCGACTGATGGTTTCGCACCTGAGCTGTGCGGCTGCGACTGCAACTATCAGCAACCTGGTGGTTTTGCACTGCTTCTCTTTTTTCGTCGACACTTCCAGGCAGGGTTACCAATCATGCTTGGCTCAACGGTTATATAAATCTCACAGCTAGGAATATAATATAGACGTGCCCACTTTACTCCAGGCTTGAGAGATGTACCACAGGTGTCAGACTCAAAAGACACATAAAGAAATCCAGCTTTGTCCATCGATCTCCCGACTCTCCTGGATCTCCAAAGCAAGGTCATGGGTAAGCACTGGTGGCGCCATGGCGGACTGATCTGAGTGCAATTCGACTGGAAGTCTGGTGGTGCCGAGAGAAACGCGAGGCAAATGCGGCAAAGAGGCATCGAACGGGACCGATACTAAGCATGGAGAACGAAACGGAACTTGAGTTTCGAACGGAACTCTTGACGTTTCGACCGAAACTCGACTCGCCATTTTTTTGTGTCTTCCCATATCGGCTATAGAGAGCAAAAGCTTCGCTCGAAAATTGCTGCACAATCAGTGGAAGAGCGAGAGAGAGAGAGAGAGAGCTGGCAACATCGCGACACAAAAATGGCCAAAATGCTTGATGAGCATTGCCAAGTCTGCCAAAATGCGTAACCTTTCTCTGGGCATCAGGGTGTGTGGCACAAGGGTTGCTCAGAAATCCAGTCACGGAATCTTCCACGTGGAAAATCTCACGCCATGCGTGTCTTGCAGCGGTCTACCAAAAACAGTCTGAGAGTCTGGTAACAAAGGCAAGGTAGCTCTACCCTTTAAAAACTTGCTCCAGTCACTCTCGAGGTGTTCAATCTACAAAGACTGTACAAATCAAACGCTACAAAGCGAACTGCTCGGTCTTTTCTTCAGTGTTTGTTTTCAAGTTTCGTCTTGCTTTCTTGCCTCGAAAAGGGCGAAGACATGCGAACACGCTCAAGGGCAGGAACACCCGGTCCTACTCCTATCAAAGGTGATGCTAGGTGTGCTTATCAAGGCCACTCATAGAGCCTTTTCTCTTTGCATCGTGTTCTTATCTGTGTGTCCCTGCTAGTCTGCACTCAACTGCTTCTGGCAACAAAGCTGTGCCTCCATGGGCTTTTGAAGACCTTGTTTCGGCTTCGGTCTTATCAATCAACTCCATCAGAGCCTTCAGGATGGTCGAACGCTCCTGTCGCTTCGAACAAAGCAGAATTGCGATGCAGAATTGAAGCCTTCGATCAAAGAAATCGTGAACCAGAATCGCCAAACCGATCAGCTTCGTGCTACAAAGAAAAACATGTAACGAGTACATTTCAGAGTCAAATGTTACATGTTTTTCTTTGTGCTGCCTCGCCCGAAACGTCAAATGTCATGTCCTTGTCTGTTGTATAAATGCCGAGTCCTGCACAACAGGTGCTGAGTAAACTGCTGGTGCGAACATGATCAAAATGGATGTCTCCTGGTCCACCACCAACATAAACGATCACGAAAATGAGAACCTCCACCAGGATTCCGTACAAGCATTGTGCCTTGAGAAGCGTGTGTCCGCTTTTGAATGTTCTGTCAACTCCCAACATTTCGCAAGCAAGCACGGTGCAAGGAACATATGGTTCGGCTACAGGAGGTTCAACGAGATTCCGGTCAACACGATTAGTGCCCAAGCTTCCAAGAATGATGTATCACTCTTGCCATCAAGAAAAGGCGTGAGTGTGATCAACCTCGGTCCAAAGACGGGAGGAAAACACAAAGCAAACATATTTGCAACGAAAAGCCATCAGTTTTTCATGCTGAGAGCATTTACAGGTGATCAGCCGCTTTGAACATTGTCAAGAGACACTGCAAGAACCACCAGCAGCCCGAATTGTGTCGTAGGGATGATTCGTTGCATAGAGGAATATTTCCTCTTGGGAAGGTACCAGTCTGGTTTCAATTCTTCGCATGTTGAGACACAGCATACCCTTTGCATTGAACATCAATCAGTGCACAGCGTTCACAACGTCCAACGTTTTGAAAGCGCCTTGATCGAGCCATGCGTATGGCCGTGATGATGGTCAGGAGCCGCTCACTACCTAGACGAGGACATGGAGGACATCTCGCACGTCGAAATGCGCTTCCAGGTTCAGAAGACTACCTCCGACCTACAAGTAATGGCCAAAACAGAACACTTCAAAAGGAACGTAATAGTCACCGCGGTTTGCAGAAAGTCACCCGGCCGCATGTAAAACGCAGCATTAGTCAAAAGTCACCCAGCTTGCGAAAGTCACCCGGTTTATGTTAAAACTTCATGTGAACGCTCTACGGAAGTATGTTTGTCAAAACTGCGATACATCAAGAATTCATTGCCCCTGTGCACAAAAGAATTAGATTTATGTCGAAGTTTGCAGCTGAGACTACACGATTCTTTTCTAACCTGCGTGGAAACGAAGCATCCAAACAATGGTGTTGAACTGATATTCCAAAGCTTATCTTCCAATCATATTGCCATCTTGCATCTAACCCCATTGTAAACACAGCATCCAAACGACTTTCTACAAGACCAGACGACTTAACACAGGTACCCAGTAATTGCGATGGCCTCCAACCTCATTGCAATGGCCTCCACCCCAGTAGCGATGGCCTCCAACCTAATAGCGATGGCCTCCACCAGTCCAAGTTTCCAGGGGTCTGAATCTGAATGAGGAGTCGGGTGATCTCTTCGATTGGGTCCTGAAGCGAAACATACTGGCTTAGCCGGAAACCCTTCAGAGCAAACGAGCAAATCAGACTTCTTAAATCTGTTTGTCTCCTTGTCTGAGCGCAAAGTCCTGGCAACGAGTTCTGATGGGATAAAGCTCCTTGGCAAGGCACGAAGAATTTGCTTTGAAGAAACTTAGCTTTGAAGCACCGCTCGCCACTTGCGTCTAAGCATCGCATTCCGCCAGGTGCTAGAAGCGAGGTAAAGTCGTGCATTTTTCATTAAAAGTAAAAGCTCTTTCGAAGCCAAGAGCAGTGGCGCCTGCTGTGGGTCTTTAGCCCAAAATGTCAAAACATTCAACAAACTAAACTGTTCAGCTTCTTGTTACTACTAGTAAGGCACTTGTTACTACTAGCGATGCA